TTTTTTTTTTTTTTTTTTTTTTTTTTTTTTTGTGTGTGTGTGTGTGTGTGTGTGTGTGTGTGTGTGTGTTTTAAATTTGTGCCACACAGCCCCTATTCCACCCAGACGAGTAGATTTGAGTTGAGCCACCCAACAATGAAAGAATGCCAAACAACATCAATCATAATAGAACCATATAGAACTTTGTTTAGCTGGGGTTTCTTTGGGGCAACAGCTCCTCTTTTACCATGGGAGGCCTCGCACGTACAAGGCTGGTCATGTTGATTGTGGTTAAGCGGCAGCTGCTCACATCCCAGTGTGTCTTAACGACCCACTTGCGCTGGCAGAGTAAAGGGGAAGGTATGCTCCTGTGCAGTTCACTTCAGATCTTCATACTCCTGTTCATTTCACTTCAGAATCTTCAGTTCATACTGAGTCTTTGTGTCTGTCCTTCCTCTTCATACTCCTGTTCATTTCACTTCAGATCTTCAGCTTATAATTTGTCTGTTCTCTTAACAATGCTCATTCGTATGTATTTGCTAGTGGCACGTAATGTGTGTGTGTGTGTGTGTGTGTGTGTGTGTGTGTGAGAGAGAGAGAGAGAGAGAGAGAGAGAGAGAGAGAGAGAGAGAGAGAGAGAGAGGATGTTCATGCTCTTTCCATGCATGCCGTGTGCGCAATCTGTATGCCAAAAAATAGTAGCAGAGACACAATCTTGATGACATTCTTTTGTCTCAGATTGTCTGCTCTGCCGCTGGCCCCACCATCCACTGCTCTCCCTCTCCCCCTGTATGTTATGTCTCGCATTCTGTTGCGATGTGGTTCGCCCATGAGGGGGGGGGCCACGGCATGCCTTTTTGTTTATTTTTCTATTAGGAGAGATGCCCTATTTTGCGCTGAGCCCACCGCTGGGGCCGATACGCCTTATCCGGAAATATAACCTGCAGATTGATACATGCAGATGAAAAAGGGTGGCCGGACATCCGGATGTGCTGCCGACCATCTTCACCCGAATAGAATGCCCAGTCATTATAGCAGTATTTGGTGCAATTTTCAGTCCAGATACGGCTATTATGACCGGGCGTTCTATTCAGGTGAAGATGGTAGCATATAAGACAATACACAAGCAGACAACAATAATGATGGTGTTTGTGAGTCACAGGACCTCCTTCCATTATGCAACAGTCTACATGCATTTGGATGCTTTCTGAATCAAGGCGCATTTCGATGAGTCCAACCTTTTGAATGTATCGCGACAATCATGACCGCCAGATACATATAGTGTTGTGTAGCGGAGCGAGGCCCATAGCTTGTGTACATAACAATGATGATGGAGATGTGGATGAGATCGCATATATTGAGAACGATGATTGTGATACCCATCCACTATTTTACTCCAACAACAAACCCTTCCACCCCACTCCCCCTCTCTCCTCCGCCCCCACATCTCTCCTCCACCCGCTCTCCCCTCTCTCCTCCACCCCCCCATCTCTCCAGTTTTGAGATTTTTTTGCACGTTCTTCTGAGTGGAAAAAAAATTGAAAAATTGTTTAAAAATCACTGAAGTTGGTATGTGTTTCCCTGTGGAAATCACTTTGGCCCACACATGGCAGTGGAGAGATGAAAAATGTGCTAAATCGCCGCGACATGTCACTTGATTGTCGAAAGATTCAAAACAATTTTATTGTATTTTTTCATTTTTCTGATATTTTTTTCCTGGAAAGATCAGGACCTGATCTAAGGAACCTTAAAAGTTAAATCTAGCTTACCAGGGCGGACATCCGGGACCCCTCCGGATGTCCGACTTGTCTGGTCGGACAACTGGGGAGATATCCTCCGGAGACAGTATGCCCAATTCTTTTATTAAAAAATAATAATAATAATAATAATAAATTCTGTGGGTTCTCCCTCGCATGAGGTAAATGGCACAAAATTTTTGGATCATTTGAAAAAGATAAAAATCACCAAAGATGTCTGTGTCAGTTTCAACCAAACGGGTCTATCTTACTGGCGCCAATTTCAATCACGCACCCGAACCCACCCCCCTAAAACCCCTTTTCAAGTTTTCCCCATGTTTTGCAATTGTTTTGTTCTTGCTCCAAATGAGCTGAATGTTTTTTTATGGGTCACCTCGTGTAGCGCAGCCCCTAGCACAGCCCCTCTCCATTATTTTTGCCCTCACTTTTTATTTTGGAGAAAATGAGTTTTCTCCGAAATTCAGGACAGCTCCCTCACTGGACCTCCAACGGAGTTTGTCTCCCAGAAACATTTCCGATCGGAGATCGCGTAACCGAGCCTTAAATTTTCATTTTTTTCTCGTCATCCTTCCGAGTGTGAAAAATCCGCATTCCTTAAATTTTCACTTTTTGTGTTCATCCTTCCGAATGTGAAAACGCGCATTCCTTAAATTTTCATTTTTTCTGTTCACCAAAGTTGGCACTTTTATTTATGTTTTTGAAAATTGCCGCCGACCTCCGAATCCCTTGGATGCACTGGGCGCTAAACTGCTCCAGACTCACTGGAAAGCCGACTTCTGCTGTTGGGGGATGATGGGGTGGTGTAGACCACCAGCACACGGCCCCCAGCAACTTGAGGCAATGATCAGCTCAATCCGAAAACTTTTGAAGGTGCAGCGTAACCCGACCACTGCAAAATGGCTGGTGGCGCCAGCGAAAACGAAAACAAGAACACCTTGCTGGCGTTTCGACAAAGCTTGGCCCGCAGGGGGAATATGACTCTTACGATCAAGCGGATTGGAGGTTGGAGCCAAAAAAAGGATTAATGGCTTGAAGCTTGGTCCCATCGACTTGCCACACGTCAATTCCTTGCGACAAATGGTGTGAGTATT